CTACGGTGAAAGCACACACACACACACACACACACACACATATATATATACACAAACTGTACAAATACATCCAGTGGTATCGTGCCCATAGCTATGGGATGGCACGGGCTTCCAAATGTTTTTCAAATCTGTGTATAAACATTTGTTTAACTATGTTCAGGATATCTGTCTATATTGGAAAACAATAATTTAATCAACGTAACAATGGAAATTTAATAATATAAAAAAGTAAATGGCACCCCACATATCATTATTTGTACAGTTATTATTATTATTAACCCCCCACTGATAAAAAAATTTATTTGTTTACTGACTCCACCCCCCCCCCAAAGCTACATGACGTCACTGCAAACATCTGTAATATTCATGTAAGAATGTAACGGTTATGTTAATTTACACATTTCAGTAAAAACATACCACATCTGCGACTGAATCCGAAGTCTGTTAATTTCACCTTGTCATCTTGTGTCAGAAGAATGTTATCGCATTTCAAGTCTCGGTGAGCTATCTGCAGAGCATGGAGGTACTGGACTGCAGTAACAAGCTGGTAGAAGTAACGACGGGCTTGATCTTCTGGTAGGTTATGATGCCGCTTGAAAGAAGAGAGAGATTATTTACTAAACCAGTATATAAAATATTTATAAAGCCTTAAAATAAGATAATGAATAGAAGCTTATGACATACTTTATCCAAACATGATTGTGGCCACAACATATCTAGTCGCCAAAAACAGCTGAAAAAAGACATCTTTCTTCTTCACCAGATCACATAGTCCCAAGTGATATACTTGAATTATCATAATAATGATGTACTCTTTCTTGAACATTAGAATAAGTTGACGAACGTACTATAAAATAAAAACAATTCAAGCTTGAAGAGTATTTGTAAAGCTAGAGTTCTGGGTTTCATCTCTGGTGGTGGGCACATCACAAATAGCCCACTGTGTAGCTTCGTGCTTAAAACAAAAAATAATTTTCCTTAATGTTCTAACGCTTTATTCTTGAGCTTCCATGGGAAATAAAGATAATCGGAGATGTCATACTTAAGTTTATTTTAAAATACGCACGTTTTTGCATATTTCGTAAAAACTAATTTTTCATCAAAATCACCAAGGCTATACACTGGGTATTTTTCCAAAATTTCGTGAAAAATTTTATTTTCATATTATTGGACTAGAAAGATGCCCTTGATGTATACAATAGAAAATGGTATATTTTTCAGGAATATTCCAAATATTTAAGCCAGGATTTCTTTTTTAAAATTTCCGCTATCTATGATCTTACTCTACTTCTTAAGAGAACATAGTTAATAGATAAGCTTGATAAGAAGAATTTTCCTTTAAAATTTAATAATCTAGAACAGGGGTCACCAAACTACGGCCCGCGGGCCGGATCCGGCCCGCGAGATCAGTTCATCCGGCCCACCGCTGCACTGTGCCACAAATGAGCTAAAATATAATTATTTATATGGAAATATCATAGATTTTAGATAAACTTACTATGTAAAAAAAAAAAAATTAAAGTAAGTGTAAGTAAGTGTCCAAATTTGTCCAATCTGATTTTTGCATCTGACAGAAATATAAGTTTTAGGAAAATCAGTGACATAAAAAATTCGGAAACTTTGGATATCAGAGCGCTTTTTGTGTAAGTACCTCCAATGAGAGTTCATTCCTGCAGTCGCCTCTGATAACTTA